TTTATTTTAAAAAAGTTTATTACCAAAATGATCAGCGAAAAATTCTCTACAAACCCTGAAAGTTTCAACAAATTTGGACGTGGTCGCCGGATCGGCCTGGCGAGATCCGGTGGAATGACCCTTTTATGATTAATAAATTACACAAAAAAGCATCAAAAGTGAGTTTTTGACCATTTTTTAACAGTTTATCAGAGAATAGATAATAAGAATGCCCATCTGAAAATAGTTTCATTAGAAGAGAATTAATTTAAAGCTATATAACGAATGGACATTGTAAATTAGAACATGATTCTAATTTTAGAACATACACTGGACTTTTTACCAATACCTAGCAAAACTCTTGAACTTCATGAGTCAATTGGTGATGGCGCCTTCGGAACAGTTTATCGAGCTACATGGTTGACCAGAAATCATATAGTTGCTGTGAAAAAGTTACATCTTATACATTGGAATAAAAAAGCGAAGATAGAGTTCTTCAAAGAACTTTCTTTTATAGATATTCTTCGTTCTCCTCATATTGTTAATTTCTACGGTGCATGCATAGAAACAGACAATTTTGCATTAGTTATGGAATATATGTCGTTAGGATCATTGTACAAGATGTTACATGATGATAACGTGGACTTAGTTTGGGCATTACGATTTTCAATAGCCTTACAAACAGCGAAATGTATCAATTGTTTACATACATTTCAACCATCCATCTTGCATCGTGATATTAAGTCGGCGAATTTTTTGTTAGAAAGAGCCTATGAAGGATATACTGTGAAAGTTTGTGATTTCGGATTGGCCGAAACACGTATCGAAACCTCTCGCCAAACAACACCAAATGTTTCGTTGATCGGTACTTTACAATGGAGTGCTCCTGAAATACTGCGCTTAGAAAAACATACCGATAAAAGTGATGTATACAGTTTAGGAATCGTTTATTGGGAACTAGCTACCAATGAGATACCTTATGGTGGTCGTCAAATTGAGGTCGTTCATGGATTTGTACGTTCTGGCGACCGTTTACAGATACCCGAGACCACACCACCTAATTTTTCTGCATTAATCCAAGAATGTTGGGCTCACAATCCCAATGATCGACCATGTTGCTCTCGTTTGATCGAAGTCATCAAAGGCTGTATCAAAAATCAAAGTAATTTCATTTTTGTTGATGTTTTGAAAAAGTGAGATGAATTGACACTCAACTTGTGTATATAGGATAACTAGATAAGTAGATCTTTTCGTAACATTCGATTATAACGCACATACCAAAGTCGTTTTAGTGAGAATACGAATGAGAAGGTCTAAGTGGCAAACTGGGAAGTTCAAATCAATTATGGTATAAATATTTAATTATTCAGCTACCTGAATGTCAAAGTTTAGGAAGCTTCAATGCTCTAATGCATCACATTTTACACTTATATATTGCATCAAAAGGTCAAATTATAAGATTTAACACATTACTATCAGTCATCTTTTTGTTTCAATAAAAAAATATAATTCAATGAGGTGAAAATTAATAGAAATTTCTGTTTCTATTTTATATTTAAATCATTTAATCTCAATTGTATATTAAATACAATGATAAATTGTTTACTTTATTTCAGTTCAATGCTTGATGGTAAGAGGTATAATAATTGATTATCCTTAACGATGAGTAGAGTAGTTGAAAGCGCAAATATGTGACAAGTCAGAAAGTATTATAAAGCTTGCATTCATTATGCGTTAAAGTGTCTAAATCGAAGACACACGAATGCTATAGTAGGTAGTTATACTAGCCAGTGATACATGGATAATTTGGTAGATTAGATGCCTTGAAGTATGATCACTAAACGAATAGATATATGCTCAAGCAATGGTCTGTAATAAAAATGGAATGTAAGATTCAACGAATACCTGTATAGAATACAAAAAAGGATGATTTTACAAAAATTAATGGAGAAATTTGTACTTAGTGAAAAATAGCATATTTTCCAAACAAAAAAATTCCATTCAGACAAGCTGAACTGATATAAGAAAATGCACATTATCCTCAGAATTCATTATAAATCATAACAAATCATTAAAAATCAGTTTGCTCATCTTCTGACTAATCTAAAGGCAATGACGATGACACTTGAAGGATGAGAGTGAGGAAGAAATCTAGGAAGTTCATATCAAGCAGCCAGATGCTCAGCCATTCATCCCTCATTCGGAGAGAAACCTTCGTTGCTGTTGCGAATACTGATAACACCTGTCTTTTTCGCGAGTAAGCAGACAAACGATGAAGAGATCATGAATGATTATCCATAAGAACACAACAAAACTAATCAGAAAATAATGATTATCTTCTATTTTAGATGCTTCGATCACGACGGCCGTAGACGCAGTTGAAAAAAACAAGCATAGACTCCAGTGCAATTCAAGTAATTCAAAAACTTTTTGAGTAATCTTTTCTCCCTTTCTACTTGTTTGCTTTTGCTCGTAGGATTCTCTCAGCATTGAAGCTAGCTCCATAGCAATCGATACTTCATTACATAGAGGTAGGATATAATTTATTATTCTTTTGATAAGGAGATTCCCAAGTAGTAGTGAGAATCATGTATTCAAGCTCACTTTGGTTCCTTCTACACGTCGGATATATAAAATCATGTGTTCATTTTTAAATTTGATGCCTATAATGTTACTCAATTTCAGGGATATGTTTTAACACTAATTAATCAATAGGAAGCATATGTCGTTTAGGTTCGATGTAAGTGGGAGTACAGAGGTAGATACAAATAACAGTAAGAAGAATATCCGATGCCTCTATATGAAACATTCGCTTTCTCAGCAAACAACAACCTTATACTGTTGGCTCACACCTTCATGCACACGACGCCCTAATTTTCAAAAGTAGGCTTTTACTGTAAAGAAGAGTGTTTTTTTACTGATAATAAAATACGCAATATTTTCGTAAATGCTGATAAATATGATCACTACCACGAAATTTTAAAGAACGAATGAGTTCTAAAATTGTAATTGAAAGCAGTTTGTAAAACTCCAGTATTAAGACCTAGTTTTAACGCTTTTAGTCCCGACATTGTCTCTCATTCTATACAAAGTTGAAGAAAATCTAGATTTCTCTCTCTCTTGCGTTCTCATTTAGATAATCAGTGGTGTATGAATTCCAGCGACGCTAGTTCAGTGCGAAAAAAATATTTTCACAGTGAAGAATACATGCGCTTCTTTGAATACACATATGATATGTGTGAAGTAGGAAGACGACAGAACGTGCAATTTCTATTTTACGATATGCATGTCATCTACGAGATGACGTGCTGTATTGAAAGGGTTAATGTACATATTTCGTAGGCTTCAATAGTAGATCTCACATGAAAGAAACAAGTGATAGAATCTAGACGAAGCATAAAGAGTTGCATTTTATAAATTTCTAATCTCTATTTAATTGATACCATGCATTCTTCTATCAGAAACGAACCCAAATGATAAATTATTGAGCATATTTATTTATTGTAGATTGTGATCCTATATGTAAATATTCTGCTCCTCATATTCAATCGGGCATTGTTATTCATCGAATTTAAGTGGATGACAAATTCGGTAGTTAGCAGAAACCGTCAGATAATATAAATTATTTATTGTTTCTCGTCATCAACAACTTCCTACAATGTGGATCTGAATGTGAATGTATTTGAGTAATTCACACCCACACCCTCATGTTTTTGCTATTTTATTTTATTTTTCGTAGGCCACCAGACTACAGAATTTTTTTTCAAAAGTTTTCTAGATCGTCTTTTATTTCGTATTAAATAACAAAAAGTTCAGATTTATTGTATACTCAAAAAGTGAGTACACTCTAGAATCGGTCAGTGTGTTCATCCGTCCGACCGTTTACATGATAACTTTTGAAAGAAGAGTCTGATCGTGATGAAATTTTGTACACAGTTTCGTCTCATCAATATCTCGGTCGATTTCGTCAAAAACCTTTCCTCTCATAATCAAACAAAACTCCAACTATTATATACCATTCGATAGAGAATTTCACGAGCTACAAAATGGTATATAAAACATTAAGAAACAAGAAGGCTAAGTCACCTATTGCAAAGACACTTAAGCGGAAATCGATTCTGTTTTTATCTACCCTCAAATTGATCAAAAAGTAAAGCTCCATCTTGCAATTTCAGAAATGACCTTTGGAGGTTTTCTGGGGCGGAGAACTCGAATCTGAGCTCCACTTTCCTCAAAATCCTATTGGTTGAGCAATAACCAATACAAATCAAGTTTTAATAGAAGAGGCTCGCTAGTATAATTTTAATGTCTACACGTGCTAGGATGACTCATCTGTCTAGTTCACTTTTTGAAGTGCACATAACACTCGGATTTAAATCCGATATTTTCACATTTATTGTATAATTCTACTAGATTTTTATCAAAAAACTCAGTCAAACAATTTAAAATCGTGACCCTAAATAGAACAGATTCATTGTGATGAATACGCTCCTTATTCTCTCAGAATACAAAAAGAAAAAGAAAATTCATTCTCATTGTATCATTTTCACCCTTTATTTCCTTTACAGCTACAAGAGAGAGACCAATAGTCATTTCTTTCTTCTCTATTGTAGTTATTCTCAATATTCCAGCTAATGCTCGATGGATACAGAATGGAACGACTGTTGCTGGAGGTAATGAAAAAGGCAGTACCACCAATCAACTCGACTGTCCTCATGGTATCTTCGTTGATGATGATCAAATGATAATTATCGCTGACTGTCATAATCATCGAATCATCGAATGGAGGATGGGTGATACGAATGGACAAGTCGTTGCTGGTGGAAAAGGCCAAGGAAATCGATTAGATCAATTGAATGGTCCAACTGATGTGCTCCTCGACAAAGAAACGAATAGTCTTATTATTTGTGATCGAGGAAATGGACGAATCGTACGATGGTCTCGCCATGATGGTACTACAGAAGGAGAAATCCTTATTTACAATATATGGTGTTGGGGATTGGCCATGGATAATGAGAGATATCTCTACGTCTGTCACAGTGAAAAACATGAAATAAGACGATATAAAATAGGAGACAAGAATGGGATTCTCGTAGCTGGTGGAAATGGCAAAGGTTATGGTCTCGATCAACTGAACTATCCCCGTTACCTCTTTGTCGATCGACAGCAGACCGTCTACGTGTCAGACTATTGGAATCATCGAATAATGCAATGGAATAAAGATGCCAAAGAAGGCATTGTCGTCGCCGGAGTTCAAGGCCAAGGGAAGGCTCTGACACAATTGAGAGCACCTTATGGACTCTTCGTCGATACATTGGGTACCATCTATGTGGCAGACGAGCTCAATCATCGAGTGATGCGTTGGCCTAAAGGAGCAAAGCAAGGCACTGTCATTGTGGGTGAAAATGATGAACGAGAAGGAGCAAATCAGTTCAACCATCCCCTTGGTTTGTGCTTCGATCGAAATGGTAATCTCTACGTAGTCGACGAATATAATAATCGTGTTCAATTTTTTGAAATTCAATAAAATTCCATTCCAATGAAGGGTGTGGGTGTGGATGTGGGTGTGTGGGTGTGGGTGTGGGTGTGGGTGTGTGGGTGTGGGTGTGGGTGTGTGGGTGTGGGTGTGGGTGTGGGTGTGGGTGTGGGTGTGGGTGTGGGTGGGTGTGGGTGTGGGTGGGGATGTGGGGGTGTGGGTGTGGGTGTGGGTGTGGGTGGGTGG